TGCTCTCAGACCCCTCTCCTTGCTCTCAGACCCCTCTCTCAGACCCCTCTCCTTGCTCTCAGAGCCCTCTCCTTGCTCTCAGACCCTTCTTTTCGGGTCTAAGGCCAAGCAGGCCAGAGGGACACCACAGAGACCCTGGTTTGGGATCTCGTGGGATCAACATTCCTCACTCAGCACATTTCACAGCAAAAAAAAAAAAAAAAAATGAAACCCCAAACTGGAAGGAACCTTCCGAGTCCTCACCTGTGAAGAGGGGGCTGAACACAACCGGGGAAAAGGCACTTTGAGTTCTTGTCAGTCTGTGTTTCCTGTTGGGAACAAGAAAAAACGGGGTGAGCAGAAGAAAACACCCCTTGTTTGCCCTTCTCAGCCCAGGAGGGACCTTGTCCCTCCTTCCCAGCAGCTCCATCCAGCCCAACCCCACTCCCAGAGCAGGGCTTTGGCCGAAGTAGGGCAGGCCCAGGAGAGCTGGGGCTCCGTCCTGCCACAAAGCAAATCCCTAAGGAGGTAATTAATGGAGCCCTTGGAAAGAAAAGCCCAAGCAAGTCCAGCAGCCAGAGCCAAGGAGCTGTTTCACAACAGACCTCACGCTGCTGCCCTGGCTTGGGCATTGCCAAATTCCTTGGACAAACAGGTTGGGTCCCTGAGCAATCCGGGGCTGTGCCTGGAGCGTGGCTGTGCCTTTGGAGGCCACCAAAATACAGGGGGAGGGGAGGGCAGCTAAACCCAGAGATCCCAAAAGAGGTGGAAACAGCTAAAACCACCCCTCTGGTGACTGCCAGGGGTACCAGCAATCCCGTGAAGTCGCTTCCCAGCTGGTTTCATAGCAATGCTGTGCTCTCCCCACTCCTTCCAGCACCTTTCCTCCTGAATGTTAAAGGGGATCTTCCCACATCCAGGCAGAGAAAACACTGAGGCACAGAGCATGGAACTCCCACAGCGTGAATCCAGGGCTGGGGTGAGCCAACTTCTCTTCTTTGTGCCCAGACACATCGCTTTTATTCACACTTTTAATGTTACCTGCTCACCAATAAAAACACCGAGAGCTCTCACCACCATCCTGGCAGAGCTGAGTTAATGGTTGGACTCAATGAACCACAAAGCCTTTTCCAACCTAAATGATCCCAGGATTCTCTATAAAACCCCATTAAAACGTGTGGAAGTGTTTTGATTTCGAGCCTCTCACACCTATTCGAGGTTGGGTTGTTTTGGGTTTTTTTTCCCCCCCTCAATTCACCAATTATCATCCACACCCAAAATTACACTTCTGGACTAATACCAACCAACCTTAACATGCAGTGACAGCTCTGCTCCCACCCACCAAGGCAGCCAGAAAGGAACATTTTCCTGTCACCAAAACAGCTCCATTTCATGCCAAGATTTCACAGCCTCGATTTCCCAGATTTCCCATTTCATCAGCAACAGGGAGAGAGCAAGAAACGGTTCCCATGGACCAAATCTTCCGCTTCCCAACTCCAGTCTCCCCCCAGAAAACCTATTCCACACTTCTCACGTTCTGCTGGGTCCCAATTCCACGCACACAAATCTGGGAAATGCCTGGAGCTCCAGAAAAATCAGGATTTTAGGGTCACCAACACAACCAACTGATAAATTCGGGTACCGACCTGGCAGGTGAGTGGTGGCAGCTGCCTGAGCTTGTGCCCAACCCTGCCCCCTTTCCCTCCAACCTCCTCTGCTGCACAAATTCCTCCCCAAAATAGGCAGTTTTGCTACTTTAACCTTTAAATCCCAACTCCCAGGCCCTGGGTGAGGAGCCACGTGTTGGTGTTTCCGTCCATATTTAGTTTCTTGCAGGTCAGCAGAGCCCAGTTATGGATTTTGGACAACAGGGCTGGTTTTCTTCCAAACTGCTGCTGCAGGTGAGGGGGAAAAGCTGCACCCAGCTGGCTCCAGGGCTGGCAGCACCATGGGAAGGTGGGCAGGAATCCTGCTTATCCGAGCCCAAACAGCAGGAATTCTGCCTCTTGGGGATGTTTAAAAGTTAAATAACCAGCCACAGACCAAGGGAGCAGCTTCAGCTCCCTTGTCAGGGACAAGAGTTTGGGAACAAGCAGAGGCAGGAGTCGACCCAAAAGTTATATCCACAGGAACCACCAAATCCACGGGCTCATGGAGAGCACCAGTTCCATCCCACATCCATGGGGGCCTCAGGTCAGGAGGCAACAACCTCCAGCTCTCAGCAGAACCCAGGGAAGGTGCTGACTCGTCCTTGTCCCACCAGCAGGGGAGCAAAAGCATCGTTAATAACTGCCCTCATCATCAGGATGGGATTCCTGGAATTGGGAGGAGCAGAGTCCTCTCTGAACCACAAGAGTTGCTGCATCAGGCACCTTGAAGTAACCTTTGCTTAAAAAATGTCTAATTAGTGCAAGGAGCTGCATGAGAAGTGACCAGTAAAGTGACCACTGAAGTGACCATCCAGCTCCCTGACCAAGAGAAGATCCAGGCAGCAATTCCCAAGTGTTTTTCTGCTCCCCAGCCCTCCCTCCCAGCTCTCCACCACCTGATCCCTGCCCTGGGAGGTCCCAGGACTCCTCCAATTAACCACAAGCCCATTAGCAAACATTATGTCATTACAGGCACCTCGTTTGAGGCCCATTTAGTCCTTTGCCGGGAACTGTCTAAAGCTGCTCCAACCCCACGTGCCAGGGGAGGCTCCTCGGGGGCACAGGAGCTCCAGAAAGGACTCAACCCCTGCCCAGCTGCAGGGCTGGGAGCTGCCACCTCCCAACCCATCCTCTGCTTCAAAGGGGAGCTCGTTCCGAGGTAATTTGGGCCTGCCCTGGCTGCCTGCGGGGCTCTGTCACCACCACCCCAGGTCGGCACCTCCAGCCTGGAGAAAAGCTTCCTGCTCATCCCCCAGCAGGTCCTTGGCTGCAGGAGGAGGGAACACACCCCAAAAATCCCCACGGGAGGATAATGAACCCTGCAGGGAAAGGGCTGTGCTGCAACACTGAGTCCATCCAGTTATCCCGAGCTGCTCCCAGGCTGCTGCCCAGACCTGGGCAGGCTCTCCCGGCCTCCTCCGTGAGGGATTTCGGTTCTGCTGCTGGGAATGTCATGGAAGGTGGTTTCTGGACAATGCAGTGGGTACAGAGCAGCTCTGTGCCCTCCACAGCTGGTACCAAACAGCTGGAACACGAGGCTGATGGAACAGGGGGACACATGGGGGTCCCACAGTAGATCCCAGGATTTGTCCCTCCATCCCAGCCAACGTCTGGCTGCCCATTATTCCTCCTGCCACGTCCTGCACGGAGCACCAGGAGGGAGAGCAGAGCCCCCAGAGCAGCACCCACCACCCCCGAGGCCACTGGAGCCTCAGGAAATGACCCTGCAGGATGTGGGAAGTGAGAGGGAACTCCAGTCCCTTGGATCCAGCACAGTCTCACCAGAGGGGACAGCGCTTTCCCTGCACCTGCAGCATCCCGGGGCTCCAGTGGCTCCCACAAGCCACCCATCACCTCATCAGTCATGGAAAAATGAAGGATGGAAAAGCCCTCCAAGATCAGCAAGTCCAACTTTCGACCAAATCCCACCAGGGCCACTAAACCGTGTCCCCAAGTGCCACATCCACGTGTTTTTTGAACGCTTCTATGGATGGTGATCCCACCACTTCCGTGGGCAGCCTGTTCCAGAGCCTGACGACCCTTTCCATGATGAAATTTTCCCTAATATTCCAACTGAACCTCCCTTGGCACAACTTGGAGCCGTTTCTTCTTGTCCTGTCCCTTGTTCCCTGGGAGCAGAGCCTGATCCCCCCCCGGCTCCCCCCTCCTGTCAGGGGGTCGCAGAGCCAGAAGGTCCCCCCTGAGCCTCCTTTTCTCCAGGCTGAGCCCCCCCAGCTGCTCCTCACAGGACTGATGCTCCAAGCCCCGCTCCTGGTCCTGCTCCCAGATGTTTCTCCACCGTCCCCACTGCAGATGCAAGGCTGGAGCGGCGTGTCCCTGCTCCACCAGCCCCTCCGGCCGTGCTCGTGCGAGCACCGAGGCCTCGCCGCTTCTCTGAGAGGCCGGATCCCAGCTCGGAGCCGGTGTTTTGTGTCACCCTCCAGCGAGGCATCGCAGCACCGGCTCCCCATCCCCGCCGACCGCAGGAACAGCCCCATCCCATCGCCCCGGCCCTCCGCACCCGCGCCCCCCGTACCTGCCCGTCTCCTGCTCCCGTCCGCGGGCCCCGCACACGTCGGTGAGGCTCCCGGCCGAGGTGGCGGCGGCGCTGGCGGCATCCCCGGCGGCCGAGCCCCCGCTGCAGCTCTTGGTGCGGAAGAGGCGGCTGAGGCGGATCCTGAGCGAGCCCTTCCTGCCGCCGGGGCCGGTGGCGGTGCCCGCGGGGGCTGCGGGCTGCGGCGCGGGGCCGGGGGCTGCTCTGCGGGCGGCCCCGCGCCCGGGGGACCCCGGCTCGTCCTCGGAGCCGCTGCCCGCCTCGTCGGGCTCCAGCGCCTCCAGCACCAGCAGCGCATCGCTCGTCTCCTCCCCGGCGGGCGGCCCCAGGCACGGGCAGGGGGGTCCCGCCGCCGCCGCCGCCCCCTTCGCCCCCAGCCCCGGCGGCGGCCGCAGCCCCAGCGCCGCCAGCTGCAGCTCCAGCCCCCCCTGCGCCGCCCCCCAGCCCGACACCGCCGCCGCCGCCGCCGCCTTGGGCTCCAGCGCGCAGCGGTGCCGCGGGCACAGCTCGGCCCCGCCGCCCCCGGGGACCCCCCCTGCCACCGCCGCCGCCGCCGCCGCCGCCGCCGCCGCCGCCGGGCCGCCGTCCTCGCCGGGCCGCCCCTCGGCCGCCGCGTTGCGGAAAACCATCAGCTGCGGCCGCGGCCCGCCGGGCACCGACAGCCGCCCGCCCGCGCCGGGCACCGCGCCCGCCGCGCCGGCACCGGCACCGGCACCGCCCGCCGCGCCCGCCTCCGGCCCGGGGCCATAGCCCAGCAGCCGGCTGAGCACCCGGTACGAGGCCGCGGCCGCCGCCGCCGCATCCCCGTCGCGCTGCATGGCTACGGCCGCCGCATGGCCCGCGGGCACCGGCACCGGGACGGCCACCGGGACATGCACCGGCACCGGCCGCCGCCGCCGCCCTCGCACGGCCGCGGAGCCCCCCCGGCCCGGCCCGCCCCGCGCCGCCGCCGCCGCTCCCGCTCCGCCCCCGCGCTTCCGCCGCTGGCCGCGCCCCCCCGGCCCCGGTCCCGCCTCTCCCGGTGGTTTCGGTCACGCCCCGGTGTGTGGATGTTGTCCATCCCCGGCCCCGAGCCCCCCGTGCGCACGTGGAGGGGCCGCGGGGACGCGGTGGGAGCGCCGGGATGCGCTCCGAGCACCGGGACCTCCTTCCGAGCACCGGGATGCGCTCCGAGCACCGGGATGCGCTCCGAGCACCGGGATGCGCTCCGAGTACCGGGATGCACTCCGAGCCCCCGCGCCCACCGACTGCCCCGACACCCGCGGGCGGCCCCGGCTCCGAGCCCCGGCACCCACGAGCGGGATTTGGGGGGCACGGAGGGTGGGATAGGGGGGCAGCGGGGACACCCGGAGACGAAGCTCCGGCCGCGACCCAGGGGACTCGTTCCCCATCCCGGTACAGCTGCAGGGGAAACTGAGGCACGGAGGCACCGTCACCTTCACATTGCGAGCCCCGCACGGCTCTTTCGCGGCTCTTGCCCCGTTTGTCGCCCCACCGGAGGAGCGGGGATGGGGTCCAGCGCTCTCCACACCTGCCCGGGGCTGGTGGAAAGGGAGGTCACCGTTGCTTCAGGCCGGGGAGGGGGGAAGCTGAGCACCTCCCGTGCCTCAGTTTCCCCTGTGTAACCACGGCAGTGCTGCGCGGGACCCAGGACATCACACTTGGAGGGTGGGTTTCGGACCCTGCTCGCGCCCATCCCCATCCCGCACCCACCCCCGCAGCCCCACAGGGACATCCCGGGTGGGTGACAACCCCCGTTCCCACCCCATGGCCGGGGGGGGTGCGGGCACTGCGGGACTGGATCCCTGGACCATCTGGGGACCCCGCGGGCGCCCTGCTCCCCCCCCGGCTGCCGAGGGGACTGGGATACCGGCAGGAAAATTCCCGTTCCCGTTGCCATGGCTTCCCATCAGGATGCTCTTGCATCACGGTCAGCCCGAGGGGCCGGGGTGCGGGGGTCCCCCCGGGGGCTCGGCGCAGGGTCCCCCCGGGGCTCGGGGCGGGGGGCTCCGGGGCAGCGCTGCGGCCCGAGCGGGAGCGCGGGGGCGGGCGGGGGGGCTCCGGGCAGCGCCAGCCGCTGAACACGGTTTGGAGCCGGTGACGTCTGCTCCGGCATCGCCGAGGGAGGAGAACGGGCGGCAGAGCGCGGGGCCGGCTCCGGGCAGCGCGGGGGTCCCTGCCGGCCATGCGCCCCCCGGGCCGGCCGGGGGGGCCGCCGGGGGACGGGGGGCTCCGCTGAGCCCCAGCCATGGAGCCGCGCCGCTGGCCGCTGCTCTGGGGCGTCCGCGCGGTGCTGGTGCACCTCACCGTGCTCACGGCGGGGCAGCGCCCGCAGGAGAGACCCCCGCGGCCGGCGGGATGGTCGCCGGGCCCCTCATCCTCGTGGGCGCCCACCCTGGAGCCGGGAGCGCCGGGGGACGCCGAGGGCTCGGCGGCAGCGCTGGCGTTCCTGCGCACGGGGGATGCCCAGCGCCTGGCCCGGGCCAACTGCAGCGGGGGGGTCGCGGCGGGACCCCCCGGCCCGGGGCCCCCCCCGGCCCTGCGAGCCGCCCTCCGGGCCGCCCCCGAGGCGCTGGCACACACCGCCAACTTCCTCAACATGCTCTTCCAGACCAACGACATCCGCGAGGCCAGCGTGGCCGAGGACGTGGAGTGGTACCAGGCGCTGGTCCGCAGCCTGGCCGAGGGGCACCCGTGGGTGCGCCGGGCCGTGCTGGCCCTCGACGCCCACCCGCTGGCCCCCAAGCCCCGGCTGATGCTCCAGGCCACCAAGGGGGACGGGCAGATCCTGCTGCAGGACGTCTCGGCCTCCGCCCCCAGCCTGGGCAACCTCAGCTGGGACAACGAGTGGTTCAACGCCCTCAAGTCCCAGCAGACCCCCCAGCTCCGCAAGCGCGTGCTCAGCAACGACCTGCGCAGCATGGAGACCCCCAAGTGGCAGCGGGGGGACAGCTACGTGGGGGACCCGGGCCACGTGAGGTGGTCGCCGCCGTTCCTGGAGTGCCGGGAGGGCAGGTTCCTGCCCGCCTGGGCGGTCACGCTCTCCTCCGCCTTCTACGGGCTCAAGCCAGACCTCAGCCCCGAGTTCAAGTAAGTGGAGCCCGGAGGGGCTGAGGAGGGGGTTGTTAAGAGGGCTGGGGGGTGCCCCGTGTGTGTGCTGGAGGGTGCAGCTGGAGGTGTCACCCCGGGGTGTGCCAGCACCCTGCCTGTGTCCCTCGGGGGGGGGTGTGAGCGCTGCACGTGTGTGTTTGCACATCCCCGGGCACGGAGGTGACCCCTGCCCTCCCTTGGTACCCCCTTGTGCTGCCCACCTTGTGCTGCCACCCCCAGACCCCCCTGTCACGGCCGTGCTGGGGGTGGGTGAGCCAGGCTGGCACCCCTCCTGGGAGCTGGGGATCTCCAGACACGGCTCCGAGGGGGAACATCCCTGTCCGGGGGTCTGGGGACGTTGCTGACACCTCACATCATCCCCCCCCAGTCCCCACACCAGTGCCAGCCCAGAGACAGCGGTGGGGCACGGCCACGCTGGGTGGGAGGCACGGGGTGGGCCCACACGACCCCCGGGGCTGACCCCATCCCTCTGCACAGGGGTGTGGTGCGGGTGGACGTGGAGCTGCGGGATGTGGCCATCGACCAGTGCGCCAGCGGGCCGGGCTGGTTCTCTGACACACATCGCTGTGACCTCAACAGCACCCAGGTACCCTGCACCCCATCCCTGCCCCCGGCAGGGCTGGGGCACCCCCACACCCCATCCCTGCACCCACCAGGGCTGGGGCACCCCCACACCCCATCCCCGCACCCACCAGGGCTGGGGCACCCCCACACCCCATCCCTACACCGGGCAGGGCTGGGGTACCCCCACACCCCATCCCTACACCGGGCAGGGCTGGGGTACCCCCACACCCCATCCCTGCACCCACCAGGGCTGGGGCACCCCCACACCCCATCCCTGCACCCACCAGGGCTGGGGCACCCCCACACCCCATCCCTGCACCCACCAGGGCTGGGGCACCCCCACACCCCATCCCCATCCCCAGCAGGGCTGGGGCACCCCCACACCGAACCACCCCCGGGCTGCCCCTGCCCCGTGTCCCTCCCTCCGGGCTGAGCTTTATCCTCTCCCGGCCGATCCATCTGCTTCGTTCAGCTGCTCCCGCACCGCAGCGAGGGGTTTATTGTGCAAATCTTCCCTCCCCACCGCCAGCCTCGGGCGTGTGACCCGGCCGCTCCCTGCCCGGGCACCGCGGGCACGGCGGGCACGGGGGTTGGCAGCCGCTGGGCACATCACCCCAACTCCCCCATCCCCTCTGCCGGCGCCCACCCGGGGATGCCCGAGCACTTCAGGGCTTGGCTCCACCATCAGCACCCCCAGCCAGGGCAAACCCCACCTCCTCCCAGCTTTGGAGTCCCACCCCGGCGGCCCAAAACTGTCCCCACGTGGGAAAGGCGTCACCGGCCGCTGTTTCCTGCCAGCGGTGCCCTCCGGAGGGACGGGCTCAGTGCCGGGCATCCCTCCAGAAAACAACAATGCCCAGCAGGGCCGCCAGCACGGCCCGTTCGGGGCAGGATGCGCCGGGGGGGGGGGGATTAGGGAGCAGTGCCTGGCCTGGCACTGCCGTCACGGCTGGGCAGGATTAGGGCGCTCGGCTGCATTAGGTGTCCATTTAGGTTTTAGGGAGGGATTTGGGGCCAAGCTCTGGCTTTTAATTCTGAAATGTTTAACCACTGATTCGTCCTGAGCGTGGGGGGGAGGATGGTGTGGGGTCAGGTAGCCGTGAGCTGGGGGCTGCTGGAGCCCCTGGGGCTGGGGGGATGCAGGGATGGGGGGAACACACGGGGTGGGGGACAAACCCTTGCCCTCCTGAGTGTCTCAGCCTGTCTCCTTCAGTGTGTGCCCCAGGAGAGCCGTGGCTTCGTCCTCGGGAGGTACCTGTGCCGGTGCAGGCCGGGCTTTTACGGGGCCGGCGGAGTGGCCAGCGGTGCCTGGGCAGGTGGGTGCCGTGCCAGGCCCCGGGGGGCCTCGTTTCACCCAGTTTTACCCATGGATACAGCAGTGGGATCCAGGGATGGGGGGCTTTGGGAAGCCAGAACGTGCACCCTGGCATGGGAAGTGCCACCAAGCCCTGGGTTGTGGTGATTTCACCTGCATGAGGTGATTCCCCCTGGACGTGGTGATTCCCCCTGGACATGGTGGTTCCCCCTGGATGTGGTGATTCCCCCTTGATGTCGTGGTTCCCCCTGGATGTGGTGGTTCCCCCTGGACATGGTGGTTCCCCCTGGACGTGGTGATTCCCCCTGGACGTGGTGATTCCCCCTTGATGTCATGGTTCCCCCTGGACATGGTGGTTCCCCCTGGACGTGGTGATTCCCCCTTGATGTCATGGTTCCCCCTGGATGTGGTGGTTCCCCCTGGATGTGGTGGTTCCCCCTGGATGTGGTGGTTCCCCCTGGGTGCAGTGGTTCCACCCTGCCCTCACTGTGTCCCCAGGGCCGGACGGGGGGTCCCGCCTGGCATGCTGGCCCTGCCGCCCGGGCTGTGCCACCTGCGAGGATGACAAGCCGTGCCTGATCCAGGAGGACCCGGTGCTGCGGGCGGCCGTGCTGTCGTGCCAGGCCTGCTGCATGCTGGCCATCTTCCTCAGCATGCTCGTCTCCTACCACTTCAGACGGAGCAAGGCAAGGTGTCCCCGAGTCCTCCCCCTCCGCCGTGACCCCCTGCCCTGCTCCCCTCCCACGCCAAACCCTGCAGTCTCAGGGAGGGGGATCCCCCTGCCCTGGCTCCATCCCCTCTGGGCACCAGCCGAGGCTCTGGGCTGCACCCTCACACCTCTGTCCCTGCAGAGGATCCGGGCATCGGGAATCATCCTCCTGGAGACCATCCTCTTTGGATCCCTCCTCCTCTACTTCCCCGTGAGTATCCAGCTGTTCCCCGGAGCTGAAAACCTCCGGGATGGAGTTCACAGGATGGAACTGCCCCAAGCAGGGCACGGGCACGGCTCCACCTAATTGTTAATTTTGCTGGCGCGGTCCCTGGGGGCTGCGGTATAAACCTTCTCAGAAAACCAAATCCCTTTTCTCCTGCTGGCTGCGGGAATTAATCCCTGCCCAAATCCCCTCTCCCTCCCGCACGAGCTGCCGTGGCGGGTGCCGCGGGGTCAAGGGGAGGGGAGGGGGGTGCTTGGCTTTGAAAGCAGGTGATTTCCGAGGCTCTGGAGGTGGGACCCACGCCGTGCCATCCGTGATCCCTGCCTCCCACCTCTCCAGGTGTTCATCCTGTACTTCAAGCCGAGCATCTTCCGCTGCATCGTCCTGCGCTGGGTGCGGATGCTCGGCTTCGCCACCGTCTACGGCACCATCACCCTCAAGCTGTACAGGTACCCAGGGCGGGGGGCTCGGGGCTCGGGACCCCCGTGCTGAGGGGTTTGGGTGGTCGGGATCCCCCTAATGGGGAGCAGCGGGGTGGTCTGGACTCCCACAGTGAGGGGATGTGGGTGCTCGGGACCCCTGCAGAGGAGAGGTTTAGATGCTCAGGACTCCTGCAGTGGGGGGGTTTGGATGCTCAGGACCCCTGCAGTGGGGAGGTTTAGATGCTCAGGACCCCTGCAGCGGGGGGATTTGGGTGCTCAGGACCCCCATGGTGAGTGGGTCTGGGTGCTCAGCACCCCCACGGCAGGGAGGGCCGGGGGCTCACCCCTGTGCCCCCCCCAGGGTGCTGAAGGTGTTCCTGTCCCGCTCGGCCCAGCGGGCGCCCTACGTGTCGAGCGGGCGGGTGCTGAAGTTGCTGGCGCCCATCCTGCTCCTGGTGCTGTGGTTCCTGGCGGCCTGGACCATCGGGATGCTGGAGAACGTCAGCAAGAACATCCCGCTGGTGATCCGCACCCAGACCACCCACGGGCTGCACTTCTACATCTGCGGTCACGACTGCTGGGACTACATGATGGTCATTGGTGAGACCACCCCCAGGGCACCCCGGGGGTCCCCACAGCCCTACATGATTGATGGTCATCAATGAGACCACCCCCAGGGCACCCCGGGGGTCCCAACAGCCCTACATGATGGTCATCAATGAGACCACCCCCAGGGCACCCCGGGGGTCCCCACAGCCCTACATGATTGATGGTCATTGGTGAGACCACCCCCAGGGCACCCCAGGGGTCCCCACAGCCCCAGGACCCCCTCCCCTAAATGTGCCGTGCAGGGTTTCCGTTTCCTTGTCCCATTTAATCTGCTCCAAGGAGGGGTTCCCATCACCCTGGCCCTGGGTAAATCACCTGGGGCAGCTCTTGAGTCCCAGAGGTCTTTGGAAAGGCCGTGCCAAGGGGTGATCCAGACCCAGCACATTCCAACAGCACCCGGGGTGAACGTGCCGGGCTGGATGCGGTGGGGTCCTGCCGGGCAGCAGCACCCATGGGTGCCCCCCAGAAGACGCAGGGTGCCAGGGCTGGGTGCTCAGCATCGCTCCCTGCTCTGCCCCACAGCCGAGATGCTGTTCCTGCTGTGGGGCAGCTTCCTGTGCTACGCCACCCGGGCCGTGCCCTCCGCCTTCCACGAGCCCCGCTACATGGGCATCGCCCTCCACAACGAGCTCATGATCTCCGCTGCCTTCCACGTGGTCAGGTAGGACACGGGGCCCAGGAGGGGCTGGGAATGGCGACTCCCATCCCTGGAGATGCTCAGGGACCGTCCCCAAGCAGGGGGGAGCCGTGGATCGCCAGGCAGGGGGAAGCCGTGGGGTCTGGGGGTGGGGAGGGGGCTGTGGGTGCCTTGGTGGGACCTGGCACTGCCCTTCTCGCCCCTTCCAGGTTCATCATCATCCCCTCCCTGCATCCTGACTGGACTCTGCTCCTCTTCTTCGCTCACACCCACGGCACCGTCACCATGACCCTGGCCCTGCTCTTTATCCCCAAGGTACCGTGTCCCAGGAAGGGAACGGAGCTGGGAAGGGGCTGGAGCAGCTGGGGGAGCTGGGGGGGCTCAGCCTGGAGAAAAGGAGGCTCAGGGGGGACCTTCTGGCTCTGCAACTCCCTGACAGGAGGGGGGAGCCAGGGGGGGGTCGGGCTCTGCTCCCAGGGAACAAGGGACAGGAGGAGAGGGAACGGCCTCAAGTGGCACCAGGGGAGATTTGGCTCAGATTTGGGGGGAAATTTCTTAATGGAAAGGGTTGTAAAGCCTTGGAATGGGCTGCCCAGGGAAGGTGGTGGAATCACCATCCCTGGAAGCGCTCAAAAATACGTGGATGTGGCACCTGGGGACACGGTTTAGTGGGGACACGGGTTACAGGCTGGCCTCGGTTTTAGAGGGCTTTTCCCACCCTGGTGATTCCACGATTCCAACGCTCAGCCCAGGGACTCTGGGAGCTGGGGCTGGGGTCCCCTGGTGCTTCAGGGACCCCTCGGTGAGTGCCCTCTCCTGGCCCCCCCCAGTTCCTGCACAGGGGCTCTCCGCTGCGGGAGGAGATCACGGCCGAGGTGTACGAGGACGAGCTGGACATGCGGCGCTCGGGCTCCTGCCTGAACAGCAGCATCGCGTCCGCCTGGAGCGAGCACAGTCTCGACCCCGATGACATTCGGGTGGGTGGCACACTCAGGACCTTCTTTTGACGCTGGTTGTGCAGAGTAAGAGGTGCCTTTCGCAATCTTTTCCTGATGCAAAGCGAAGGGGGGGGGAGAAGGGGGCACAGGGTGACCCTCCCCGGGCGGGCAAACCCTCTGTGTGACCCGGGCTGGAGGGGACGGGCAGGGCGGGAAGGGGGGGGGGGTTTGGGGACGCGGGGGCAGCCTGGGCGGTTTGGGGGGGGGGCTTTTTTTTACATCCCCCACTTTACGTGCCCTCCTCTCTCCTCTCCCTCTGCGCCCGGCGCAGGAGGAGCTGAAGAAGCTCTACCGGCAGCTGGAGGTGCACAAGACGTGGCGGATGGCGACCAACAACCCCCACCTGCCCAGGAAGCGCAGCTCCCGCCGCAGCCTCGCCCGCTCCATCCTGCGCCGCGGGGCCGAACCGCCCGAGGCCCCGTCCCGCCGGAGCAGCGCCGGGGACCGCGGGAGCATCCCGGGCCGCCGCGGCTCCTCCGCCAGGCGCCCGCTGGACGCCGGCGGCACCGGCGTGAGGATGCGGGACGAGGGATCCCGGCGCCGCTCCTCGGCCCTGCGCAAGTCCCGCAGCTCCGAGGGGCCCCCCCGAGGGTCGCCCGGCCCCGGCATCCTCCCCGCCGAGGAGCCCTCGCCGGGGAGGGAGGAGATGGACGTGACCTTGGAGCGATCCGACAGCGACTCCCTGGACGCCGCCCCGCTCGTGTGCAAGTCGGCCAGCGCCCAAAACCTGTCGGGGCACTGGCAGAGACCCCCGGCCCGGGCGCCCGCCCTGCAGAAGTCACACAGCGTCGTCACCGGGGCGCGGGAGGAGGCCCTGCTGGCGGCCAGCAGAGCCGCCCGGGAGGGCTGGCACAGCAGCAGGCAGCTCTCAGCCCCGGCCTCGAGGCACCCTCCCGGCCGTGCCCCTCCCGGGGACGCCGGGAAGGCCAAAATCCCCGGCAAGAGCTGCTCCCAGGAGGACACGTCCCCCCTGGGCGATGCCAAGGTGCAGAAACACGTCACCTACGCGCCCACCAAGAGCGTCAGCATCGACAGCGCCCACCCGCCCAGGAAGGTGCGGGTGGCCGTGAGGAAAACGCCCCCCGTGCCCCCCGTCCGCTACGAGAGCCTGGGGAGGCACTCGGTGCCCGCTGGGGACTCCCTGGAGCCGGCGGAGCCACCGCGGGACCCCCCGGCACCGGCGGGAGAGGCGGAGGGGACACCGGAGGGGACACCGGAGGGACACCCGGGGCGCTCGTCCCCCCCCGCGGGGAAGGGCGGGCTGCTGAGCCCACCCCCCATCTCGGCACAGGTCTGTCCCTGGGAGCTGATCCAGGACGAGATCCTGAGCAGGAAACAAAAAGCCGCCGAGGCAGCAGACTCGGGGAGCGCCGGTGACACGGAGACCCCCGAGCCCAAACCGCCCCCCGCCAAGACCTTCCGGAGCCTGGGCCTGGCCATCAAAGCCCTGAACCGCTCCCGGGGGAAGAGCGTCCTCAGAGGGAGGAGGGAGAGCGAGGGGAGCTTCAGGAAGAGGGGGAGCAGCAGGAGGGAGAAGTCCAGCCTGGCCGAGGCTTCAGCCACGTCCCTCGGGGGGACCGGCCCGGCCCCCCCTGCCAAAAGCCCCGAGGGGGGCAGGCAGAGGCCAGAGCCCCCCAGCCGTGGGTACACGGTGCCCTGCCAGCACAACAACAACGCTGCCACCCCCGGGGAAGCCACGGGCTGGGGGGACAGCGGGACAGAAGGACACTGGGACGGTCTGGCGCCAGGGACAGCTGGTGGGGATGAAGTGGCAGAGCAGCCCAGTGGGAAAACACAGGTGGAGCCCCAGGAAGGGGATGGGGCTCCTGGGGCGGATCCAGGGAAGGATGCTCCTGCAGTGGATCCAGGGAAGGATGCTCCTGCAGTGGATCCAGGGAAGGATGCTCCTGCAGTGCATCCAGGGAAGGATGCTCCTGCAGTGCATCCAGGGAAGGATGCTCCTGCAGTGCATCCAGGGAAGGATGCTCCTGCAGTGGATCCAGGGAAGGATGCTCCTGCAGTGCATCCAGGGAAGGATGCTCCTGCAGTGCATCCAGGGAAGGATGCTCCTGCAGCGCATCCAGGGAAGGATGCTCCTGCAGTCACGCTGGAGGAAGGAACAGCCAAAGGGCTCCAGAGGACCAGCGGGTCCATCCAGCCCCAGGAGCACACGGAGGAGGAGCAGCCACCTGCAAAGCCCGCCCCAAGCAGCCCCCAGCCCTCCACCACCAGCGTGCAGGGAGAGGCCAGGGGGAAGCCGGGGGCTGGGGCTTTTCCCCCAGGATCCCTTGGAATCCCAGCGGGAAGGGGAGCCCTGCTGCGCCAAGAGGCCGTTGCTTCCCGGGAGGACGGGGGGCTCCTGGTGGGTGAGGAGAGCCCGGCCAAGGTGCTGGAAAAGGGGAGCAGCCAAGCTGAGCCCCTCGGTCCTGGGGGGAGCCGGGACACTGCCAGAGCCTGGGATGCAGCGGGGAAAGCTGGGAGTGTGCCCAAACCTTCATCCCATGGATCCGTGGACAGCACAAAGGCCACCATCTGTCCGTGGGAAGTGGAGGATGAGCCACGTCCTAGAACAGAAATCTGCCCCTGGGAAGAGGCTGCAGCTCCAGCAGGGAAGGAGGGATTGAGGCAGGACACCTCCAAAAGGGAAGGCAAGCCAGGATCCAGAGGAGTGGGAGATACCAAAGCAAGGACGGGCGGCCGTTGGGAACAGCGCGGGGACACCGGGATGTTTGCAGAGCTCGTCAGGAAAAGCCTGGAAAAAGCTGAGTCCAAGAAATCCCAGAGTATGGAGAGCATAAAGGAGGAGATCTGTCCCTGGGAGAGCCTGGGCACCGAGAAGCCCCCGGAACAACCCCCTGCCAGGAGCACAGCACTGCCCAAATCACCTTCCAAGAAATCCCAGAGCACGGAGAGCCTGAAGGCAGAGATCTGTCCTTGGGAGGATCAGGAGCCCAAATCCAGTGACAAAGCCAACATCTGTCCCTGGGAAGGGGCTGAACCTCCATCAGGTAAAGAGAAACTCAGACCATCCACTGTGAGCAAAAGCCCTTCTGCAAGTCGGGGTCTCTTGAAAGAAACTGGAGTTGGTGCATCTGGAAAGGAGGAGAAAGCAAAGAGAGACCGGGAGTCCGTCTGTCCCTGGGAGAGCACAGACATGGAGCAGCCACAGGCCAAACCCCACACTGGGAGCATACAGCCATCAAAGAAATCAGCAGAGATCTGTCCCTGGGAGGATCAGGAGCCCAAATCCAGTGACAAAGCTGAAATCTGTCCCTGGGAGAGCACGGAGCAGCCCCCGGGCAAAGCCCGTGCAGGGAGCACAGAGCCTTCCAAGAAATCCCAGAGCAAGGAAAGCCTGAAGGCAGAGATCTGTCCTTGGGAGGATCAGGAACCCAAATCCAGTGACAAAGCTGAAATCTGTCCCTGGGAAGGGGCTGAACCTCCCTCCCAGCAGCCAAAGGCAAAGCAGGTTTCCCAGGGGGGCTCCAGGGGGGACAAGCGCATCACGCGCCAGGCAGCGCTGGCCAGCCCAGAGAGATCCCCAGGGAAGGGCAGCAGGGACAGGGAGGCTGTGTGTCCCTGGGAGAGCCTGGGCACACAGGAACCCTCGGGAACATCCCATGTCGTGGGCACAGGGCTGCCCAAGTCACCTTCGGGGAAATCCCAGAGCGTGGAGAGCCTGAAGGCAGAGATCTGTCCTTGGGAGGGTCAGGAGGTCAAATCCAGTGACAGGGCAGAAATCTGTCCCTGGGAGGGGGCTGAAGCTCAGCTGGAGAAAGGAGCAGCCCCAGGGAAGGACAGAGTCCCACCAAAAGAAGTGGCCACCTCCAAACCTGTGGAGAAGGGGAGCAGAGACCGTGAGTCCATCTGTCCCTGGGAGAGCACGGACATGGAGCAGCCACAGGCCAAACCCCGTGCAGGGAGCACAGAACCTTCAAAGAAATCCCAGAGCAAGGAAAGCCTGAAGGCAGAGATCTGTCCTTGGGAGGCCCAGGAGCCCAAATCCAGTGACAGAGCAGAAATCTGTCCCTGGGAGAGCACGGAGCAGCCCCCGGGCAAAGCCCGTGCAGGGAGCACAGAGCCTTCCAAGAAATCCCAGAGCACGGAGAGCCTGAAGGCAGAGATCTGTCCTTGGGAGGATCAGGAGCCCAAATCCAGTGACAAAGCTGAAATCTGTCCCTGGGAGAGCACAGACACAGAGCAGCTCCTGGGCAAAGCCCGTGCAGGGAGCACAGAGCCTTCCAAGAAATCCCAGAGCGTGGAGAGCCTGAAGGCAGAGATCTGTCCTTGGGAGGGTCAGGAGGTCAAATCCAGTGACAAAGCAGAAATCTGTCCCTGGGAGGAGACTGAACCTCAGCTGGAGAAAGCAGTGGCCCCAGGGAAGGACAGAGGCCCACCAAAGTCCTCCAAACCTGTGGAGAAGGGGAGCAGAGACCGTGAGTCCGTCTGTCCCTGGGAGAGCACGGACATGGAACAGCCACAGGCCAAACCCCACACTGGGAGCATACAGCCATCAAAGAAATCAGCAGAGATCTGTCCTTGGGAGGCCCAGGAGCCCAAATCCAGTGACAAAGCTGAAATCTGTCCCTGGGAGAGCACGGAGCAGCCCCCGGGCAAAGCCCGTGCAGGGAGCACAGAGCCTTCCAAGAAATCCCAGAGCAAGGAAAGCCTAAAAGCAGAGATCTGTCCTTGGGAGGATCAGGAGCCCAAATCCAGTGACAAAGCTGAAATCTGTCCCTGGGAGGGGGCTGAACCTCCCTCCCAGCAGCCAAAGGCAAAGCAGGTTTCCCAGGGGGGCTCCAGGGGGGACAAGCGCATCACGCGCCAGGCAGCGCTGGCCAGCCCGGAGAGATCCCCAGGGAAGGGCAGCAGGGACAGGGAGGCTGTGTGTCCCTGGGAGAGCCTGGGCACACAGGAACCCTCGGGAACATCCCATGTTGTGGGCACAGGGCTGCCCAAGTCACCTTCGGGGAAATCCCAGAGCGTGGAGAGCCTGAAGGCAGAGATCTGTCCTTGGGAGGGTCAGGAGGTCAAATCCAGTGACAGGGCAGAAATCTGTCCCTGGGAGGGGGCTGAAGCTCAGCTGGAGAAAGGAGCAGCCCCAGGGAAGGACAGAGTCCCACCAAAAGAAGTGGCCACCTCCAAACCTGTGGAGAAGGGGAGCAGAGACCGTGAGTCCGTCTGTCCCTGGGAGAGCACAGACATGGAGCAGCCACAGGCCAAACCCCGTGCAGGGAGCACAGAACCTTCAAAGAAATCCCAGAGCAAGGAAAGCCTGAAGGCAGAGATCTGTCCTTGGGAGGCCCAGGAGCCCAAATCCAGTGACAGAGCAGAAATCTGTCCCTGGGAGAGCACGGAGCAGCCCCCGGGCAAAGCCCGTGCAGGGAGCACAGAGCCTTCCAAGAAATCCCAGAGCACGGAGAGCCTGAAGGCAGAGATCTGTCCTTGGGAGGCTCAGGAGCCCAAATCCAGTGACAAAGCTGAAATCTGTCCCTGGGAAGTGGCTGCACCTCAGCTGGACAAAGGAACAGCCCCAGGGAAGGACAGAGTCCCACCAAAGCCCTCCAAACCTGTGGAGAAGGGGAGCAGAGACCGTGAGTCCGTCTGTCCCTGGGAGAGCACGGACACGGAGGATCTCTCCCTGAAAACTGTAATGGAGAAGGAGCCATCCAAGAAATCCGACAGCACGGAGAGCAGGAAATCCGAAATCTGCCCCTGGGAAGCAGCAGAGCCCACGGGGTGGGAGAAGGAAAGCTCCAAAGCAGGTGTGCACCCATGGGGAGCTGACAGAACATCCCACCCCAGGATGGGAAAGCCAAAGCCGGTGGCAGGAGCCAGCGTTGGGTCTCCAACTGCCCTGCTGGAAAAATCCAAGGGCAGCTCTGATGGGGAGGCCAAGCACAAGCCCCTGTGCCGGCTCCTGCCCAGCCTCCAGCCCCCAGGGACGGGCAGCAGCTCCAGCCCTGGCACTGGCCTGGCTGAGGTTTGTCCCTGGGAAGCAGAAGAGGCTCCATCAGCACCTGCCAAGCCCAGCACAGACACAAGGAAAAGCTCGGAGGTGTGTCCCTGGGAAGAGGAGGGTGTGGATCCCACCCCGACCCACCATGGCCAGAGCAGAGCCAGGGGGACCCCCCGGGATGGGGAGGGGGGTGAGAGGGAAACCCAGCCCGAGGTGTGCCCGTGGGATCACCAGTAGCCCCATCCCTAAATCCCAGGGCAGACGTGGCTTTCGGGGAGGGAAAGGCTGGGGCTGGAGGCTGCTCCCACCTGCAGAGCCCCCGTGCTTGGCCCGAGGTCTTTGCTGGTCCAACACCAACGTCAGGACGTGTAAATACAGCAAATAAAGGGTGTTGTTACAGAGTGTGGGCTGAGAGGCTCGTTTGTGGGGGTGGGGAAGAGCTGAGAGATCCCCCAGGAAGGGGCTGTGGAGGGAACCCAGGAATGAGGTGGTTGAGCTGCAGAGGTCGGAGAGGGGAGATGGGGAGCCACGGGCTGCTCAGCTGGAAGGAAAGGCCATGGGAAGGCCATTCTCCCCCAAAAGGCAGACATTCCACAAAAAACCAACCCTTTTCATTCAGAGCCAGAGCTGGAGAACCTCACAGAGTCCCAGAACAGTTTGGAGGGGAAGGGATCTTTAACACCATCTCCTTCCACCCCCTGCCATGGGCAGGGACACTTCCCACTAGCCCAGGTTTCTCCAGCCTGGCCTTGGACACTTCCCGGGATGGGGCAGCCACAGCTTCTCTGGGAAAGCCATCCCAGTCCCTGCCCACCCTCCCAGGGAAGAATTGCTTCCCAATCCCCCACCTAACCCTGCCTGTGGGTGTGAAGCCATCCCCCTTGCCCTGGCACTTGGGGAACACTCTCTCCCCATCTCCCCCGGAGCTCCTTCAGGTCACAATTAGCTCACCCTGAAGTTTCCCCTTTTCCAGGCTGAACAATCCCAGTTCTCTCACCCTTGAGCAGGTCTGGGTTGAGGAGTCACCCCCCCACCTGTCCCAGCACACACAACCAGCAGCTCACAGGGAGCTATTTTTGCCCCTGGCTCAGCTCCCACACTCCAGAGCCCCGAGTGCCTCCCCGGCTCCCGAGCGAGGCGGAGGCAGAGGCTCCATTTAGAAAGTCCTTTCAGGAACAGACAGATTGTGACACCCCTCTGGCTTCCAAAAGACATGAAAGGGATTCCATGGCTGGCTCCTCTCCCAAGGCAGCAGAAAGATGATGTTCTGCCCTTCCAAAAGAACATCATTCACGAAAAAACCCGCTGAAAACGCTGCGAGCACAAGGAGCCACGACTCCTTTTTTTTTTTCTAACAGCTCTGCAAAATCTCTTTCAAAGCAGAAATGAAAATGCCCTGAACTCTCAGGGATGAAATAAAAGGGCTCTGGAAATGGCTGAGTTAAAAAGCAAGACAGGGCTGAAGAAGCAAAAGCTTTGTTACTGGGTGACTAGTGAGTCTTTGGCTCTGTGAGGGACTTGGCTGAGCAGAGCAGAGCAGGGAGAAGGTTAATTCCCAGCCCTGGAGAAAGGGAACCTCTGGGGAGGTGTTTTCCCAACCCATCCTGCACAACCAGGGACTGATGCAAAATGTCAGTGTGTCCACAGGATGGTGCCAGTCCCCCACTGACAACACAGAACCCACGAGCTCTGCCACAAACACCAAACCCCCACCCTGGGAAAGGCTGACCCTGCAAGGAGCCAAAAATGACATTAAATTGAATTATCAGTGCTGTGCTGCAGCCCCTTGGGGAAACTCCCACTCAGCAGGAGTCCAGTCCCAGCACCCCCCTCCCCAGAATTGGATTTAAAGTGTTCTTGCTGCTTTTCCCTGGTTTTTTGTTTGAAAAAAAAAAAAAAAAGGAGGTTGGGAATCAGTAGGAAAAGGGAGGGGGAATGGGAAAACAATGTGCCAGCAGCTACTGGTGGAAGTTTTAATGAGTGACCAGCAGGTCTGTGACACTTCCCATGGAAGTGACAAATATCCCACGTCTGGACACACTTCCAAGGGCTCTCCAAGAGCCAAGGGCTCTCACAATGGAAGTCCAGGACAGAGAATGGCCCTGAGGACAAACACAGGGGGGTGAAGCTGCAGCACACAGAGTCCTTGGACAGAGTAAAGCCCTTCTCAGGGCTCATTCAAATCCCTCTCCCGAGCCCCTCTCGCTCCTTTAAGGACAAATTTGGGGTGACTGGAGTCCATTTCTGAAGCCACTTTGTTTGCTGGCTGCTCCCAGGGCAGGCACAGCCACATCCAACCATTCCCAGTCCTGCCTCCCTCCCAGGCTGCTGGCACTGCTGTCCCTGTGCAGGTTCCAGAACTTCCTACTTCACTTCTTCATACTCCTGTGAGGGATCCAGGCTCGGGCCAGGAATCATCACCGTCTGCAAGAGCAAGGAGCAGGATCAGCAGGAGGCAGAGCAGCTCTGAACTGCTGCACTGGGGATTCTTCACGTTGCAGAGAGGAAGGAAGGGGAGCAGAAGGTTCTGGAAAGGGGGGATTGGATGGAGGGAAAACAGGGAAAACGCAAGGGGGGAATGGGGTGGGATGACAGGCCTCGTACCACCCTGGAATTCTCACCTCCTTCCTCTAGGATCTGTTTTTAGTAACACAGGGAGACAGAGCCCCTGCAGCACTTTGCCAGGTCAGGCCCAGGGAGAAACAACCCCCCTAAATGATCCCACACCTGCCCTCAGCCTCCTGTTCCAGCTTCCAGGTGCTCCAGGTGACAACACCACAACAACAAACAGCTCTGCTCGTGGATCAACCCACCACCCTCCCCTCACAGGGAGCTCAGCTTTGTCTTCATCCCTGTTTAACCAGGAATCTGCACTTCCCAGCCACGCTGGTGCCTTCTCCTGCTGGGATTACCTTGACAATGGGATCCTTTGGAGGGGCCCACTCTGGGACAATCTTCCCGTGCATCCTCCACGAGCCATAGGGGTTCACCAGGTACCTCTCAAACACAACATACTCCAAAACATCCTTGGGCACCTCCTCCCCACCGTACATGAGCCGCCCAAAGCGGTCGTAGATGGCCAAAATCTGTAAAAACAGCCCAAAAAACCAGGTTGGGCAGGGCTTGGAGCGACCTGGGCCAGTGGAAGGTGTCCCTGCCCATGGCAGGGGGTGGCACTGGGTGGGCTTTAAGGTCCCTTCCAACCCAAACCAGTGTGGGATTCTCTGTGATCACGTGATCAGAGGGATGGGGCACCTTTCCTGCATGGAAAGGCCGAGGGAATTGGGATTGTTGAGCCTGGAGAAGAGAAGGCTTTGCAGTGACCTCACTGTGCCCTTCCAGGACCTGAAGGGAGCAACAGGAAAGATGGAGAGAGGCTGTTCCCAAGGGCCTGGAGTGACAGGACAAGGGGCAATGGCTCTAAACGAAAAAGGGGAGATTTATATTGGATATTGGGGAGGAATTCTTTCCTGTGAGGGTGGGGAGGGGCTGGGATGGATTTCCCAGAGAAGCTGTGGCTGTCCCAACCCTGGAAGTGTCCAAGGCCAGGCTGGAGCAACCTGGGCTGGTGGAAGGTGTTCCTGGGTGGAACTGGACGATCCCCAAGGTCCTCCCAGCCCGACCCATTCCCTGATCCCCAGGAGGGCTCAGGGCTGTACCTGCCGGGTGTGCATCCTCACTGTCACCTGCCCATAGAGGTTGCCCCTGTTGACGAGGCTGTCACAGCGGACATGGACCACCCTGGGGGGCTCCAGGGACTCCACAAACCTCCACCTGATGGTCTTGTACCTGTTCCCACGGACCATGTCCTGCGAGGGGTAAAAACAAGCAGCAGCTCGACTCGGATGAGAACACAACAAGAAAAGTGCTGCATCCAACAGGGTGTTCAGTCATCAGGGGTTTCCCTCCCAGCTCTTTGCTGCATCCAGAAAAAATGAGACATGATCAGGTTTAGAGAGCTTTAAAAGCCATGGAAGAGGTCAAGGCACTGACCTCTGCTCTCTGTGATCAGTGACAAGATCCAGGGAATGGCTGGAGCTGTGTTAGGGGAAGTTTAGGCTGGATTTTGGGAAAAGGTTCTTCCCCCAGAGGGTGGCTGGCACTGAACAGGCTCCCCAGGGTTTGGTCACAACCCCAAGGCTGCCAGAGCTCAGGGAGCGTTTGGACAACGCTCTGAGGGACAGGGTGGGATTGCTGGGGTGTCTGTGCAGGGCCAGGGGTTGGACTTTGATGCTTGTGGGTCCCTTCCCACTCAGGATATTCCACGATCCCACACTATTTTGCAGGCAGACACTCACGGGGTAGCAGCGCTCGGTCACCAGGGAGTGAAGTTTCTGCTTGTTGAAACTGCAAAGCAAACACACCCCGTTACTTGGGCACAACAAAGAGGCTTCCCCACAAATCCCAGCCTTTCCAGGAGACACACAGGCTCCTGGCAAAACAGGAAAAGCCAAATTCTCAGCCGTGAAAAATGAAATGAAAGGAGGGCACGAAGGTTGAGCTGAGCTGACACAGCTCCAGGGAAAGGGCACAGGAACAGGGGAGCCAGTTCTGACCCAAATGTTTTAGTGATGTTTGGAGCTGGAACCAAGAGCGAGGCAGGTTTGAAATCTGTCACTGGAAAGCAGAGCCAACCAGTGGAGTGTCATTTCATGGAACCATGGAACGGTTTGGGTTGGAAAGGACTTTAAAAGATTATCCAATTCCACCCCTGCCTTGGGCAGGGACACCTTCCACTAAACCAGGTTGCTCCAACCTGGCCTTGGATACTCCCACAGGGATGGGGCAGCCACCCTGGGAATCCCTCCTTGTCTTTCTAATCCCAGGGGGGTGGAACTGGATGAGCTTTAAGGCCCCTCCCAACCCAAACCATTCCATCTTTCCACGATTCCATGAAAACCAGAGCATGTCAACAAAGAGAGGCAGGTCCTACAAAACCCACACCAGCCAGGGAAGGGTCTTACTTTGCCAGGGAATTGTGAGCCTCGATAAATATCTCCTGAGCCTTCTCTGGGAAGGTTTTAGTGCTGAAATCCGGGTCGTGATCTTTGATCTTCCGCAGGCTGAAAAGACAGGAAAAGGAAGGAAGGAACAGGTTGGAGCTGTCCCAGGTGTTTTGGGTGATGGCAGAGATCCCACATGGAACTGTCCCGGGTGTTTTGGGTGATGGCAGCCTCTCAACCCCCCAGTATCTCACAGAGACAGACAGAAGACACCAGTTCTGCCACAACACAGACCCAGCAAAGCTCCTGCAGCACAGAATTAAGCTCATTAATGACTGAGGAGGCACTCACGCCAGCTGGGAGGCCGCTGTCTGCTTCAGCTTATCCATCTTCTGCTTCAGCCCCTCCTTGGACAGGGTGGACAGGCGGGCATCGCCCTCGGGAGGGACATATGGGTCTAT